CAAAACTAATAAACAACAACAACAACAACAAGTCATTAAGTGAATCTGGATTTGGTTGCACTTCGAGGACTACCTGCATTAAACTGACTCCATCTAAAAAAAAAAAGACGAGCCTCCCTCACTCAGCAGAGTCTATCTTTGAGCAGGGATAAGCTTCCACCCTGCTCGGTAGATCTCCCCAAAAGCATTCAGAATTATTATTATTTTTTCCTGTACTTACCACAACTGGAATCTGAATATTCCGACTGGGTTTCCCCCATTTCTTCTCCGAAGTTGGATCCGGGGGTATGAAGGCACATTTCCGAATGCTGCGGGGACCGCGAGCCGCACGAGCTGCACTTGGACGAGTGCAGATACAAAGGCGACTGGTCCTCGCTGCTCTGAGGAGAACCATCAAGTGACCTAAAGGAGGAAGAAACTATGTTTAAGACTAACCTCCACGGGGTGTGAAATTGCCCTTTGATTCGTCAAGGGCTGAGCTAACCACGGTTTGTTACCCTGTGGCTCGTCTCGATTATCGCATTCGGCGAGAGCTTCTTCGAACGCATTTGGCAACCACGAAGGGTCCTTTTTCAAGGTGTCCATGAAGTCAACTATATAAACATTTTAACATGTCTCGGTTTTAACTTACAATCGAGCTCAAAATTTCTGCTGCTAAGCGAGACAGAGGCGAACTGAATTTTGCCCCATTCCACGACCTTCCTTGCCACCGTTGTTAAGTGAATTCACTGCAGTTGTTCACGGTTGTTGAGTGAATTTGGCTTCCCACGGTGACTTCGCTCGTCAGAAGGTTGCAAAAAGGGGATCACGCAACCGAGGGACACTGCAACCGTCATAACTATGAGCCAGTTACCAAGCGTTCTGAATTTTGATCATGTGACCGCGGTGAGGCTGCAACGGATGTAAGTGCGAAACGACTCACCAAGGTTTGTATCTCTGTTAATCAAACTGCCAGGAGTGTAGATTTAGCGATAGGTTGCCAGTTTTAATAGGCTGGCCAATGGCGAGCAGTGCGGGGACTGTGCTTAGCCTATGCGCACCCCATGCACCCCAAATTAACCCAGTTACTACAAACAACATTGTACACCGAAACCTAAACCCAGTAAGCAGAGCTGAGTTCACACAACTCCTAAGTCTAAATTCACACAATGCTAAAATCTTACAAGTACAGGCATTTGTTCTCTAACTGATCCGGGGACAGCGGTGGTGTGTGAATACCACTATCGCAGAGGTGGTATTCTGCTGGTTTGCACCGGTTCAGGTGAACCGGTAGTGGCGGCGGTGGCGCTAGGCTCCACCCACCCAGCCTGATGTCATGAAAGTCAAGGACAATTTAATCGGTACTAGATAACCTGTTGGCGAAGTGTCGCAGAAATATTTCCAATATTTCCTTGGAATAACCAAGCGCGGGCAAAAAAGCAGGAAGAGGAGTGACTTCCGACTTCCAGCCGTCTTCCCCATTGAGTTTCCTTGTGGGAATCCAGCAGTGCGTAGAAAACCTTCCTTCGTTCCTTCCTCTCTCCCTCCCTCCCCTTCCCCCCCCCTTCCCTGCTGGCAGGTAAGTGGTTGTTGGTGAAAGAGGAGTAAGGGATTGCTAGAGTGTCTGGGAAACTGTCACGGAACGTCAAAGCTGAAAATCATATGATTGTGGCCACAGGGCAGCAACTGCCAGTAGCACTAAAGCAACCACAACTTTTCCAACTGTCGTCCCCCTCGGGAGTCATGGATCCCGGTTTTAAACGCATTCAGTAAGCTAGTCCATTTGAGGTACCTTAGTTCAAAATATTGTTGCCTTACCACCCTCTGTTTCCCCTAATTAAAGGTCACCACAAGAGTTTAGCAGTGTATAGATTACATTGACACTCAGGAGTGTACACGGCACTCTGGAGGATACACGGCAGGGGTGAAATTCGATTGTTTTTACTACCGGTTCTGTGGGTGTGGCTTGGTGGGCGTGGCAGGGGAAGGATATTGCAAAATCTCCATTCCCACCATACTCCGGGGCCAGCCAGAGGCGGCATTTGCCGGTTCTCTGAACTACTCAACATTTCCGCTACCGGTTCTCCAGAACCTGTTCAGAACCTGCTGGATTTCACCCCTGATACAGGTTTAGGAAGAGAGGGTTGGATTAGATTAATCCAGCATTTCCCAACCTCAGCAACTTGAAAACGTGTGGATTTCATCCTTCTAAAATGGTGGCTGGCTGGGGAATTCTGGGAGTTGTAGTCCACACACCTTGAAGTTGTTAAAGTCGCAAAACACTGCCTTCTGTAAGCCGCCCAGAGTCCTACGGGATTGGGCAGCATATAAATTTATTAACAGTTAAAGTTAAAGTTATAATATCTTTTAGCACCCAGTGGCCAGTCAGATCAGAGCAGGTGAGAATTTGGATGAGACACCACTGGTAAAATCCAGATCTACGCATAAATGCACACCAACACGCGCACCCCACTCCCGACACAAGAAGAGGTCCGTACCTGTTAAGAATATTGTTCAGGCGGCTCGCTTGAGGGATCGTTGAGTCTTCCCCGTTGATGTTGAGTTTAGTCGGGGACTGCACATCCATGATCTCGGGCTCCAGGGACTGCTGACACGCCAGCGAGGGGACGTATGGCCGCGGGGAGAGCGTCCCGGCCTCACTGTGTTCGGGCCCCTCCTCCTTGGCGTCCTGGTTGAGCGAATTGAGCACGATGAACTTGTACTTCTTCCAGTTGCACGCCTTGGGATCGGTGGGGCTCTTCGCCGAAGGGGCACTCGGGCCGATACAGGCGGTCTTGCTGCTGCTGGACTCGGTTGGCGAATTGGGTTGGCAGTCCGACTTTTGGGGGCTCTGTGGGCTGGTCACCACTTTCCGGTTCATGGGCGCGTTGGTGGGCTCGAAGCGCTGGCTCCTCTTGGCTTCGGGAACGGGCCTCTCTTCTTCCTTGCTCGTTTTGTTGCACGCAAAATAGGCGTTGTTGTGAGTCAGAGGGGGCGCCGGGTCGGGACCCGTAGCTGCGCTGTAGCGGACATCATTTTTGTTCTCTTCGGCCGCCTCTTCCTTCGGAGAGTAGACAGCGGGGCGGCACAGGCTGGGCGAGAGATTAGCCCCCGCCCTGGTGAACTCGGGGGCGCTACTCCGAGACACGCTGCAGGGTGCTGCGCGTTCTCGCAAAAAGGGGTGCCCTCTTGACGCCTCCGAGACGGGCATCCTTGCATCTCGTAGTTCTTCGTCCGAGTAGATGTACCCGCCGATGGGCACAGTGTTGTAGCTAGTGTAGGAAATGGGGGATCCCGACATGCCGTTGTACAAACTGGGCATGAAGGTTCTCCCGTCACAAACGGGGCCGTTCCGAAGAGGTAGGCTGGTTTCCGTGATATCTCGGCTCCTGTAAGCCATCATGTTTGGTTGGCTGAGCATCTGGTTGGCTAAAAAATCCTCCCGGGAGGTCTTGGCAGCCGAGACCATTTCCGTTTCACTAAAGGCGGAGAAAAGGGGACGTTACAATGCAGGTAAGTTCCTCGACTTACGGCCGGCATCGAGCCCAACATTTCCACTGCTAAGAAAAATCATTGTTAAAAGTGGATTTTTGCTCCATTTTGTGACCTTTCCTTGTTGTTAAGTGAGGCGCTGCTACATTTTATGACCATTTCTTGTTGTTAAGTGAATCACTGCCCTAGTTAATAACAAGGTTGTTAAGTGAATCTGGATTCCCCATTGACTGCTTGTCAGACGGTCGCAAAAGGGGATCGTGTGACTCCGGGATACTGTGACCGTCATTAATACAATGCCAAACACATCTGACTTTTGATCACGTGACTCGTGGGACTCCTGCAGCGGTCGTAAGTGTGAAAAACAGCCCTGTCACATTTTTTAATACTGTTGTAACTTTGGCTGGTCACTAAAAGTATTGGGTCAACCCCCTGGGGAAGTCCTCTGTAACGTCAAACCGTCACTAAGCAGCTATATCTACCCTCATCTCTACCCAGGAGAGGACTACGATTCCACTTCCGTTGTTAAGTGAGACAGTTAAGCCAAAATCTCTTCCTGCCACCGTTGTTAAGTGAATCACTCCGGTCGCTAAGGGAGTAACACAGTGGTTGAGTGCATCCCTGCTTGGCTTGCCAGGACGTTGTAAAAGGGGATCGCATGAACCCAGGACCCTACCACCGTCATAAATACGAGTCGCTGGCCAAATGGCTAGAACTTTGATCACGCGAACGCCGGGGGGGAAGGGGGGCTGTAACCGTCATAGGTGTGGGAAAACGGTCACTTTTTTCCACTGTCATCCTAACTTCAAATGGTCACTAAACGAATTTGTTGTAAGTCAAGAACCACTTGTGTCTACAATGTATTTGCGGCCCCTTTCTTAACAATATTCAGCAAATGCCCAGCAGAGGGCAGCACCTAACTGACTTTGGAAGCTCTCCCAAAGCTGCACTGAGTTAAACCTGGTTTAATCCTAGGATAGGAGATTTTGCCCTGGTGGCTATCGCCACGAGACTCACCTGGAGTTCAGGAGCCTCCGACAGGTGTCCACCACATGTTCCATCTGCAGGTAAAGGGCCGTGGCCATCACCGCCAGGATGTTACTTTCCCGCAGGTTGAGACGAGACGTGTACATAAAATCCAGGAGGATCCCAAAACCTTCAGGGCTGATTTCTGGATCTAAGTTCAGGACGGAGAGATTGCACTTGAGCTGGTCGGTGAAGATGCTGTAGAAAAGGCCGCTGTGGAGAAGGAAAAAGGGACAATTCTGGTTACCACCATGTTAAAAACAGCAAGATGGCAGGATGATTCCAAGAAAGGATGCAGAGAAGAGCAACCAAGAGGATGAGGGGACTGGAGGATAAAACATATGAAGTATGGCTGCTGGGATTGGGTAAGATAAAGATATAAGTGTCTATTACTCCATCACAGTTTAATCTTTTGGGCTTCCTCGCACTTGTGGATAAAGCAAATTGCCGAAGAAGGTCAAAACATATCATTTATCTATCATTTATATGTAAATATATTTTGCACCCTATTGCACTAAAGCAATCAGAAGTCAATTCCTCCTTGTTTTTTCCCTTTTCTCTTTCCTCTTCNCTAGCCGGCATCAGTGGACTTCAACTCCCAGAATTCCCTAGCCAAATTGAGTGGACTTCAACTCCCAGAATTCCCTAGCCAGCATCAGTGGACTTCAACTCCCAGAATTCCCCAGCCAACAAGAGTGGACTTCAACTCCCAGAATTCCCTAGCCAGCATCAGTGGACTTCAACTCCCAGAATTCCCCAGCCAACAAGAGTGGGCTTCAACTCCCAGAATTCCCTAGCTGGCATCAGTGGACTTCAACTCCCAGAATTCCCTAACTGAATTGAGTGGACTTCAACTCCCAGAATTCCCTAGTCGGCATTAGTGGATTTCAACTCTCAGAATTCCCTAGTCGGCATTAGTGGATTTCAACTCTCAGAATTCCCTAGCCAACAAGAGTGGCTTCAACTCCCAGAATTCCCTAGCCAGCATCAGTGGACTTCAACTCCCAGAATTCCCTAACTGAATTGAGTGGACTTCAACTCCCAGAATTCCCCAGCCAACAAGAGTGGCTTCAACTCCCAGAATTCCCTAGCCGGCATCAGTGGACTTCAACTCCCAGAATTCCCTAGCCGAATTGAGTGGACTTCAACTCCCAGAATTCCCTAGTCGGCATTAGTGGACTTCAACTCCCAGAATTCCCTAGTCGGCATTAGTGGACTTCAACTCCCAGAATTCCCTAGCCAGCATACATGCACTTCAATGCCCATCTAGCAACCTCTGGCACTCCCGTAGCAAACATGTAACACACATGGACATAGCGTGGCCTGCCCCTAACAGCTGTGCCACCACATTCCACACCAACGGCGCCTTCCGAGGGCAGCCCCACGTAACCGCGTTGTAGTAATCCATGCACACAGAAACCCAAGTGCTCCATCCAGGAGGACTTTCACTCAACGCGTTGCGAAATAACTCAAGGGACGTCAAGGCAGAGAGACCAACAACTAGCCCCTTTTTGCTGACAAAAGACCCCCCAAAAGGGGGATGCCAACGCCGTGCGCCCAGACCCCCCCTCGCCCATCAGCCACAACTTTTCCAAACTCACAATTCGCTCAACACGTTTCACATCCTGCCTGCGCCCTCCACTCATTTCTAAGCCCCAAACCACGAGAGGTTGCACCAAATATTCTTCAAAGAATTAACCAACATTGATGCTCATCAGGCTTGGCGTAAGGAATCGGTGCAGCTACTCGGTTCCTTCGTTGTCCTGGCTGAACGGATGTGTGTGTGAACACAGCCAGGATGGAAGGACATTTCGGAGCTGATCCATCAAACCGTAGCGCATTCATACCTTCATTGCAGTCCAAGTTTGCCCTCTTGATATCAAAGATGTGAGAGCTTTAATTCCCAAAGCCTGCAGTTCGTGGGTTGAAAAATTCACTGCAAATTCACTGCAAATTCACCACAAACACACACACACACACACACAAAACACACAAACCCTCCTAGAAATTAACAGGTTTGAGCATAAATCAGAACTGACCAAAACTGTGAAGAGGAAAGAAAAAAAGCTTGTCATGAATTTAACTCGGGGATTATTTTAGGAAACCTCTTTTAACTTTTAAGGCAGGTGTGGACTTCAACTCCCAGAATTCTAGGCGGGCTGGGGGATTCTGGGAGTTGAAGTCCACCCGTCTTAAAAGTTGCTTTTCAGGAAACCCCGATCTGGAGGGAAACTCACAACTTCCGGAGGGGTGGGGGGTGGATTTATGGTTGAGAGTTTTAAGTTTAATTCAATCAAAGTTTAATTCATAGTTTAATTTCAACAAAGCGTCTCATTTTCTCCCCTCGCCACAATTCTGCCCGGCAACAAGTGACCCAAACTCCCCAACACCTTCCCCCCCCCCAAAAAAACACCCAAAGGTAAATATTTTTGGGCAATGAAGCCAGAAAAAAAATAAACATTTTTGGAGGCTCATTGGGAATTCGGTGGGCTGCAACTGGAACTACAAGACTTACATCAGTTTAGCGGTGTGCAGAGTTACGACGCTGGGGAAAAAAATGGCTCACGATCGGTCCTCGCAGTTATGACCCTCACAGCGCCCCTCCCTCCCCAGTCATGTGATCAAAATTTGGGCATTTGGCAATCGGCATGTATTTACAACGAGGGTCACGTGATCGCCATCATCAATGAGGGGGGGTCCGATTCACTTAACAACCTGACAATTCCCTTTGCAATTGCAGTGATTTGCTTAACAACCGTGGCCAAAAAAAAAAGCATAAAATTGGAGGCGGCTCACTTAACAACGGCCTTGCTTAACAGGGGAAATCCTGTTCCAAATTGTGGTCGTTTAGTTGAGGACTAGCTGTAAGTGATGGTACACCTGCCCACCCCTCTTTCAGTCTCAGGGACAGATTTTACCATCCTGAAATATACATGCATATATCTATATCTATATATCTATATCTAATCTATATCTATATCTATATCTATTCTAATATCTATCTATCTATCTATCTATCTATCTATCTGTATAAATTGTGAACTGTCCATCATTGATCTGAGGTGGATGGCAATAGAAATTGGATGGATGGATGGATG